ATCCCTCTGCCCCTCCCTCCCTCCTTCCTTCCTTCTTCTCTCCCTCCCTCCTTTTCCACACATAGTATAGGCCTGCACCATTTGCCCTCCCTCACAACCCTCAGGAGAGTCCCAATGAAGCCTCCTCCTTATCTTCCTCCTCAGCTGACCAGCAGAACTGCCTGCCACTTTGCTGGGGGGAGGTGGAACAAAGGGAGCCACAGACCATGAAGAAAACTGCACCCCTCCTCTCTATTCTGGCATGTCCCCAAGGGCTGAAGTGGCCACAAATTCCCCAAAGTTCAATCCCATGGGAGCAATGGGTCCCAGATTTTGGACGCATTCTGTAAGTTAGCCCGTTTGAAGTACCTTCGTTCAAAAATTGTTGCCCTATGTTGCCCAATTTGGCTAATTTAAGGCTACAGACATGAGAGTTTTAGGCAGATAGGCAGAATCCAGCCTATAAGTTTATCAGGGAAGGGTCCAGCTCCCTGAGGTTCATAAACAGCCAATCCTGAGAGAGAAAGACTGAAAATGTGAATGCAAGTTAAAAAATATAGGGTAAAGAGGGGAAGCCTGTTATATGATTGTCCTCAAAAACACAGAGAAAAACTGAACACATATGAACGTCTGCCTAAATCACATACATACAGCTTGAAGGCTGAATGCAACCTTAGGCCAGGTGCAGCATGGAGCTAGTAGTGACCTCCCCACAAATCCACTAATTTATAGTTAATTGCCTCCTTCTCTCTATTGACTGGCACTAGAAAGAACTGTGGATTGGCAGGCTCCAAAGCTATTCCCAGTTCAGTAAGATCTAAATTCATCAGGAAGGATGTTTTACCACCACCACCCCTTTCCCTGCATACTGAGAGGAAGAGAATGCTGAGTGAACATGGGTGGTGTTGGGAGAGCAAAGTCAGTAGGGAAGCCAGCAGGGAAAGTTGCAAGTTGTCCTCCCGCTGCCTTTTCTCTTGAGGAGCCCGCTATGGAGTCCGAGATTCCTGGGATCTCAGACTCCATAGCACCCCCCACCCACCCACACTCCGACCTGCCTGTGGCCTCCGCCAACCTGCCCACAATCCCTAGCACCTGTTTGCAGCACCCACGCACACCCCACACTCCTCACCTAGGACTTCTGCCTCTTCCCACTTAACGACCACACATTCTGGGGTGACAATGGCAACTGAGACTGCTAGGATTGTTAATAAGCGATGCAGTCACGTGACATCACACTTTATGACCACATTGCTTAGCGACGGCAATCCCAGTCCCAACTGGCACTGTAACCCGACGACTACCCGTGGAGGAGGCAGAAGGCCAGTTTGAAAGAGGACGAGGGGAAAGCCCTACCCATCACTGCTTTACAACCTCTGACTTGTGGCGCAGCGGCCTAATGACGCTGAAAGTTGCCGGCCAGAAATGGTTGGCGCTTCAGCGGTTCGAGTCCCGCCCTCGGGGT